GAACTATTGAAAGAAAAATCGGCTGCAGGGCCGCATGAAGATCATGAAGCGGATTGCGGAAGCCAGCAGCAGAGAAGCAGCGTGGCTTCCACGGATGCCCCACCTGGTGCTAGTGCACCGATGATCGAGATTCGTGCACCGGAGCCTCACTACCCCGTGGATGATGTAAAGAAGATGAAAGACTGTGATCTGCATTATCCCGTGGGGAACGTTTCCACGAAGGTAGCTAGCGGCAGTGCTTTACCCTGTAAACCTGGAGCACTCCACCACAACAACCCCATTCCATATGGCTATGCTTGTGTCACGGTGGAAGACATAGTCCAAGGGTTTGAGGACCTGGAGATTGACAAACCTACACCCGAAGGGGATAGCAGACTTGGAGATGTCAAGCGCCAGTACATTCTATGGAAAAAGAAGTACATAGTGTTTCCAGACGAGGCGCCAAGGCTAGCAAGTCCACCCCCCTCCGATGGTGGTGGTGGTGGTGGCGGTGGTGGCGGTGGTGGTGGTCGTGGTGGTTCACCTACACCTCCTTCACGCCATTCGACGCCGTCCCCCGATCCACAACCTCCGGCGGGTACGACGCCCCCCAATCCTCCTTCGGCGGGTACGACGCCCCCCAATCCACCTCCGGCGGGTACGACGCCCCCCAATCCTCCTCCGGCGGGTACGACGCCCCCAATCCACCTCCGGCGAAGAAGCAGAAGCAGGCGGACAGCAAGGAAACCTGCTCCTGGACTATTAACCCGGACCCTTATGTACCTAAGACCACAAGGGTACCGGAGCCATCGCTGAAGCCTCTCCTCCCAAGGCCTGGGGAACTTAGTGAAGCTGACCTCACATTGGCCGCGTCTACTGATTATGAGAAATGGAAGGCAGATATGAAGGCGAAAAAAGTGCCTGAGCCCAAGCAAGTATTCACTGAGAAGCAAAAGAAGTGGGCTAAGGATTTTTTGACGACACCGTCCCAAGCCGAGCTGAATATGCCTGACGACTATGGACATGAACTTCGTAGGCAAGCAAAAATATTGAAGGAGGAAGAAAGTAAAAAAAGCGGGAAACAAGTTGACCAGCTCGGGATGCAGAAGAAACAATCGATCCCCCCGCTCATAGTGAAAGCCGGTCCGGAAGAGGACCCCGAGATCATAGCAGCTGCGGCAGCACTTGGATTGACTGTAGCGGCTGCCATGAAACAAGCGTCCGAGATGGGTTTGACTGTTCGTGCCTTCTTAGACCTTGAGGATGCGCCTGCAGGTGAGATAACATTACAATATGTGCGGAAGGGGCCTCTCGTCGAGCCTGAGAAGGAAAATAGTCTACCAACACAAATGCGAAATCTGCTACGTTGGTACAAGCAATTCATAACATGGGCCGACAAAGAATATGTTTATGCGGATGTTACACATGAGCATCACATCAAACGGTACTCTGTAGAAGTTCATATGAGTGAATTATTCCAGCTGTTCAATCTGCGCGCCCTCGACAAATCTATGCTGAGTTGCTACGTTCTGTAAGTGATTTATTTCTACCTCATCTCGTTCTTCATTGCCTGCACTATATATATATTGTCCTAACTATATTGTTGCGTACGCTATTATGCAGATTGAAGATTTGAGAATGCAAAATAAGAAACATCCATGATGTTGGGTTCATTGACCCACATATCGTTAATGGACATGTGTTAGAACATCACCACAAAGACATGGAGAAAGACCTGTACAAGTTTCTTAGAAAGCATCAACTCAAAAGTCATATTCTATTTCCTTACCATTTTGGGTGAGTGTTTCTCTCTTGTGCCCATTCTATTTTGTTTACTCCATGCATGGTATGTCTAATCGATGAGTTATGCATGACTGTGCATGTAACGTGTCCGCAGGTTCCACTGGATTCTGCTAAATATTGAACTTCACACCTCCACAGTTCTAATCATGGACTCTAAGGATTCGGATCCAAAGCGTTGGGCCGACATGAGAAAAATGCTGCAAAAGTAATTATTTTCAATCATTTGAGCTCTATATCGATCGGTCTCTTCATTTCCTAATATCAACTAACTAATAAATCCCTTATTCATTTAATTTTCTTTGCCCTGTAGGGTTTGGAGATGGTTCTCAGAAGAAACTGTCGGTGAATTCAAACATGAGCTAGATTTCAGAAAGTTAGTTAATGTGGATAAGCAGCCATCGGGGACCGATCTATGTGGATACTATGTTTGTGAGAACATCCGGAGACAAACCACTGAGCGGAAGGCATCAGCTAGCGTGCGGAACGCGACGGATAACTTGCGGAGGAGGCTTAGTCCAGAAGCTCGCTTCCGACCAATTCAAGAAGAATTAGCAGGATTTTTCATGAGGGAAGTCATCAATCCTAAAGGCCAACACTATACCGAGGACGAAGAAATTTATATGCATACCCGAGATTGAAACTTGTTCGAAGTTGTATATGGTCATCCATCCTAATTGTGTATGGAAACTTGTTCGAAGTTGCATATGGTCACCCGAGATTGAATATATATTATATATTCCTCTTGAATTCTTCTTGTTTGAAATTTCATATGCATGTATATAGAAGCGTAGAATATGTGTATTGAAACTTCATCAAAAATAAAATAAAACACAAAATAAAATATAAAACAAATAAAACACTACAAATTAAAAAGAAACCAGATTTAGGGGGGCTAAAACCCTAAACCTGCGGAGGAGGCCTTTAGTCCCGGTTGGCCACGAGAGCCGGGACTAAAGGTCCTCGGCCCCGACGGACCACGGGCGCCCACGTGGCGGGCCTTTGGTCCCGGTCAGCCACAAGAACCGGGACTAAAGACTTTTGTCGCGGTCCGTAAGAGCCGCGGCTAAAGGGGGGGGGGTCTTTAGTCGCGCTTATTTAGTCCCGGTTGCACAGCCGGGACTAAAGGCTGTTGCGAACCGGGACTAAAGGGCTTTTTTCTACAAGTGGTGTGTATATGGAGAACCTCGCAGAGTTTGCTGGAGAAGGGCGTTAGAGATAGGAGAGGGTTGCCTGTGCCGGGGAGGAAGAATCACAGAAGAAAGGAGAGATTGAGAGGATAAGGTGTGACCGCATGGGAGGGGATAAGGATGAGGGCAGAAGCGGTGACGCATGCATGGGGCCATACGACACGTGTGACGTGAATGACGCATTGGCTGACACGAGAGAGATTAGTCGGTCGAAACGAAGGCTTTTCCATTATCTAGTGTACATAGAGCTAAAGCTATATATATATATATAGACAACTTTAGACACAAAGTAACTAATCACTTTTTTATACATGCCCCTGATCCATAGTGCCGAAATTAACCAGCATAGTACCAAGCTAACCCCTTTACTACTCGTGGGGTCAAAAGGAAAAAAACCACCTTTCCCCTCGCATGCCGGCGGCACAGCCGATGTTGACGATGGTGGTCGATCCCTCGATTGTCGAAACTTCTGGAAGGCCGGCGCCAGTGAGGGCCCCTCCGCCCCCATTCGCGAGTTCCACCGTTCGTCTTCTCGATCCCCATCCTCTTTGGTTTGAGAAAGAATGTGAGGATGCACTTGAGGACGACATGGCAGTTTTGGAAGCAACTAGCCCTGGCACTACTGGTAACCTAACGGGGCTGAGTGTGGCACCACGTCAGCATCAATGATAGGCCTAAGCTAGAACTGCTGAGGAATCAGGGGTGCCTCAGATAGTTCATGATCTCATCGCCCTCGCCCAAAGTCATTGTTCGCAGCTTGTGTATTTGTGTGAAACAAGGCAAGAGTCTAAAAAGGTCCGTCGTTTGTGTTCTCGCGTAGGCCTTCGAGGCTTTTATGGAGTGGATAGCAACTGTAAAAGTGGTGGTTTTGCTTTGTTTTGGAATGATTAGTTGTCAATTGGGATCAAAGATATGAGTGAAATAATTATTGATACGTACATCCGTGCCATTTCGTCTGATCGTCACTAACATCTTACATGTATGTATGAAGAACGTCACAGAGCTTTTTGGAGGAGGGTGTTAGATATAGAAGAGGGTCGACCGCGCCAAAAGAGGATGGAGAGATTAAGAGGATAAGGTGCGACCTCATGTGAGGGGATAAGGATGAGTGCGAAAGCGGTGACGCACGCATGGGTTCACATGGCACGCCTGACGCGAGAGAGATGGGTCCACATGGCACGCCTGACATGAACGACACGCCTGACGCGAGAGAGATGAGTCGGCCGAAAAGGAAGAAGGCTTTTTCATTATCTAGTATACATTCTACATAGAGCTAAAGCTATATATATATATATATATATATATATATATATATATATTGATACTATTCATCACCCAGGATACAGAATAAGTTATTCTTCACCCGAGGTAATCTTACGATCATTTGATAATTAAATTACGTTTGGAATTTAAATAGTTACATTCTTATTGATTCACTACGTAAAATTTGGCATAAAAAATAAATAAAAATATAGGTCATAAAACAAAAAAATTTGCAATTTATGTGTATTTTACACTATGTTTTTATGTTTATAATTTTACATAACATAAAATATTTTTTACAACGACTATATATTTTCTTACGGTCTCTTTTCACGTCGGAAATAAGACAAAACTT